ACTTCCTCTTTTCTTTCCCATTCTCCCTCTCCGGGTCTTGGCAAACTTTCCACTTTACCTTCCTGTGGAGCGTTCCAGCCGAGAGCCGGGGGCTGTGAAGGTCCCCATTCACTGGGCTGGAGAATGGGCCACTTGGCAAGAGCAGGGCTTTTCCCATTTCCGGCCCTGAACCTCCTTCTAGCTTCCAGAAGGGCTGAAAGGAACAGTGTGGGGAGCCTGGTGAGTAATGGGGGGGGGGGGCGAGGCAGGCGCACTGCCAGGTCCACGGGCAGAGCTGGAGCCCATGGCAGAGGGTTCCGGCTGAGCCGGGAGAGGGAGAGACGGGTGGACGGAGAGCACAGCTGTGGGGCCCGTCAGGGGCCTAGGCGAGGGCCTGGGAAGGGTCCTGAGGATGCCCTCCCATCCCCCTCTCCTCCCATGCCCCACGGGCCCAGCCAGTGCCGGAGCAGGGGGCTTGCTGCCCACGGACAGCGGACCCCACGCTACCCCTCGAGGGCTCAGGCCTCGAGGTCCAGGATGCTGGGGTTGTCCCTTCCCAGCCACATCGCCCCCTTCAGCCCCAGACAGCCAGTCTCTCTCCCCTCCTCGGATGATTCAGGGAAGAGACGCCTTCATTGGAAATGAACTGAGTTGGGTCTTGGAGTTCCTCCAAGACTTCATGTTCTTCTCCCTGTATGATGGTAACTTTGCACGTCCCACCGACCGTCCTGGTTTCTTTTCACAACAATCCCACGAGGCTGAGAAGTCAGGGATGCCGATGACATAGAAAGCCTGCTGGCCTGGAGGGAGGGCCCGGCTTGGGGGCCCGGTCGGCCTGCAGATGTGCCGTGTCTCCACTGGGGGCGCTCAGGGGACGCTGGGTGGGGCTCCCCGGCGCAGCGAGCTTCAGAGAGTGGCCATCTGCCTCTGGCTGGCGATACGCACTTCATCTCAGTTTCTATATAAATACTTCTATAAACAGTAGATTTCGATAAAATATGAAGTAAGAGACTAGGCCGTATGTAGATACGGTGAAAATCGAGGGAAGCCTAGGGAAGAATGTTTGGGAAGAAACGGAACCTCTCGGCTCCCGAGTTCTGAATCCCTTGAGCCGTATCTCCGGCCTGGCCACTGCCAGCTCCCAGTGCAGCTGTGAGACCAGTCCTGGCTACGCAGAGGGCCCGGGCCAGTGCTACCACCCCCACAGAGCGGGGGGCGTTATCATTTTACAGACTCAGAACCTGAAGCGCAAAAGGCTGGTGAGCCTACCCAGCGTCATGTGGCCCAGATAGTCAGCCTGACCCAGGCGGGGTCTCAGACCACAGCTCGGGGATCCTGCAAACCCCAGGGGGCGCCTGGCGGCATCAGGCTCTAGCACAGGGAGGGACCGGGCTGGTTTCAGCCACAGCGAGAGAGACTAAATTCTGAGGCGAAGGCAAATTTTAGAACGCAATATTTGGAGGCTCAGGAAGGGCGAGCGGTGGAAGATGGACATGGGGTGGGTTGGAGGGTGGATGTGAGGAGCGTGGGGGGACCTTCTGTGGCCTGTCTCAGAAAGGCTTCCCACCAGCATCCCTGGGATCGGAGAGAGGGAAGTTCTCAGGAGAGAAAGATGGAGGTGGCTGTTAGATCGTTTCCCACTCGGACTCCATTGGGTGTGATTTGGTCCCCGTCCTGAGCCAAGGACCTGAGCCACTGGGAGGCCAGAGAGGAACGGGTTGGGATTTGGGGCCGCTAATTTCCGGCCCGGGGTCTCCTCCATTGCCCCACACCACGCTGCTGTCTCTTCTCCCTCTTCCGTTCCTGAGGAAGGAGAAACCCTGGGATCTGAGAGGGTCCCACGCTCCGGACAAGACAGCAGCCTGCCCCTGGCTCTTTCTCCAGGGGTGACATCATCCCCCTCGAGGGTGGGAAAGGCAGCTGCCCCGCAGTGGGGACCCAGCTGATGCTCCTGCTGCCGGTTCCCACACTCGGGCCTCCCGGGCTGGCTGACAACGGGCGGGAGGATGCCAAGGCGGCCCCTTCCTTCCCCTCTCCTTCCACCATGAGGGATGGGGGTGGGAGAGGAGGGGCAGGACAAGAGGTGCGTTCCTCCCGGTCAGACCAGGTGGAAGAATGGAATCCTGTCCCTACGCTGCCTTACAGTCCACTGAGGGAGAAACGTTCTGGAGGCTCTTAGGAAGTCTTCAATTAAGATAACAGCCCCAATGCCCCTCTAGGCCACTCGAGGTCACATGCTGCCCCCCCCCACCCCAATCCCTCCAAAGCTGTGCGAGGGAAGAAGTGTTATTCCCATGGTAAAGAATAGGGAAATTGGAAAAGGACACTTAAATAACCTGCTGAGATCACACAGCTATTACCTGGTAGAGCTGGGATTTGAACCCTCCTCTATTGGTCTCCAGAACCCAAGATCTTAACCACTGCAGAATATCATTTTCCATGTGGGTGTCGTTTCAGCTCTTGTTTACCTAAATGGGGCCTCTGTTTTATGGGCAGCGCTGAATGCATACGGACCCACACATTCATTCTCACTGGAAAAAGGCACCAAATGTCAGCATTATTTCTGAAGGGTTTTCCATACTGGACGCGATTGAATGGGGTCGTTTCATTCCTCCCGCTGCCTCCGACCCGGGCCGTGGGCAGCTCTGGAAGGAAGCCGGCAAGCTCAGGCTCCTTGCCTCTTGGCGAGGTGAAGCCCTGAAACATGGCCCCCTCTCCCTGTGTAGGGGGGTCCTGTCTGGAGGCAGCAAGCAGTCTGGAGGGATGATTTGGGGTATTCAGTGGTACACAATATGTGTTTTATGGGTACGTAGCAAGTGCAAGGGGCTTCTGGGTAGACACGGCGAGGTCTCAGTCCCTGCCTTAGTCAGTAGATGCTCAACAAATGTTGCCTGAGTGATGGAGCATTTAGACACCTGGAGGAGCGGGGACAGGCAGGGACAGGAGTTGCAGGACACAGGGAGGAGCACATCGCACAGCACAGAAGAGGCCTGACAGGAGCATGGCTACGCCCCTGGGGGTGGGGACCCGAAGCTGAGGGGTAAGTGCCGCGACCAGAGGTGTCGGGGGGGGGGGGCTAGACCCGTCTGGTGGCTGGAAGGCCTTCTAGGCGGCTCCTGCATTTCAGAGGGTGGGGAGGCAGACGTGAGGCCTGGGACGACAGGAACGGGGCACTGGGCGGGAAAGCCAAACGCGGCCCTGCAGTCCGAGCTGGGGTGGGGAGGAAGGCATTGTGGGTGGGGGGGAGGGCGGGAAGCGGGAAGCCAGAGGAGCAGTTTGCTGGGGGAAAGGCCTGGGGGCATTGGTTGAGGGCTTAGCATCTCCTCTCACTCTGCTCTGGGTCTTCCCAGCTGCCTCCCCCGAGGAAGGGGTCAGGGAGGTGGAAGTGAAGAGGTCGGAGTGAGGGGCCACCGGTAAGCGCAGCCACCCCAGAGGCTGTGTCTCCTGCTGTTGCGGTGGCCCCGTGAGCACGTGCTTGTCCAGACAGGGGCCGATCCCAGGGCGGCCGGGGCCCCGAACCACCACTTCTTGCCGTGTCTTGGGGAAGATGCCGAGTGGGGCACTGCCCCACTCAGCCAAGGCCTCTTCGCCCCCAGGGACGGCGCACCCTGCACTGTCAGGCTCAGGAGCTCCTGCCCCCCGCCCCCTGCACAGCCAGGGCCAAGGTGGCAGGGGAGGGCTGACCCTGAGCCTGAGAGTGTGGCCCTGCAGGGCCTGGTCCTGTGCTCCCAAGCCCTCCGCCCCCCACCCCGTGGGCTTAGCTCCGAGCATCAGGATAAGGCTGGGAGGTAAGATGATCCCCACGGGTCTCTGGGGGGCTTAAGAAACAGATGGTCCCCGCACAGGAGGTTTGCCACTGGTAACCTGAGCAGATCTGGGGCGGGAGCTGGCGGGACCCAGGCAGCCTGGGCCTGGGCACGGGAACCTCGTGAATGTTATCAGCCGAAGCATCCCCTGCCCGGCCTCCCAACTCGGCCCTCACCCAAGTCCGTCTCTCAGCCCCTTCCAGCTGGCACCCGGGACGCGGGCCTCAGACACCCACAAAGGGGCTGGGGAACTGGCCCCCAATGTCCCCACTCTTGGCCAAGGCGGCAGCGCCAAGTGGGCCAAGAAGGCAGGAAGAGCCCTGGAGCCAAGTCCAAGAGCAGCTGGGAGAGGACAGGTGCTGGAGGGAGAGGAGACTGGGAGAGCTGGGCAAGGGTTTCCGCTTCCCGACCTTGTCTGCCCCCCATCCCCCCTGCGGGGTGGGCGGCACAGAGCCCTCCTCAAGCCCAGCCCCCGCTGCCAGCCAGCCAGAGAGGGCTGGGTAGCTGGGACTGGGTTTGGAGAGAGATGTGCCGTGTCTGACCGCGTCCAGCCCTGTGAGCCGTGCGGCCTCACCCCACCACGGTTAACTCGCTTGTTCACACGAGAACAGTGACAGGTAAAGATGAAAGGAGGTGGGGTGTGCGGAGCCCTCAGCGCCAGTCCTGCTACACAGTAAAGCGTCGTTGTCCTTGTCAACATCGTCATCTCAGGAAGGCTCGGGGGCGTGGAGAGGGGCACAGACGCCAGAGGGGACAGATGTTTGTGCCCACCGCCACTCCGTGCGCCCTCACACTGATCTCAGCTCACCTCTCACTGGGTCATCTTGAGCAAGTTACTTAAGGGCCTCCGTTCCCTCCTCTGTGAAATGCGGACAGAACTAGGCACTCCTTCACGGGGTAGCCGGGCAGGTTAAACATAGATTAATTTATACACACGCGTCTGCACATCCACCCACGGAGCAACGGCAGCACCTGCCATGCAAGCGAGTGGCTGTGACTGTTATTCCGTCATGCGGCCGTCCCCGTGTTCAAAGCCGTCCCCTCCCCGCCCTGGCCTGCCCTGCACTAGACTGTATAGACCGGGCAGGGTCACTGGCAGGCTGCGAGGACACGGGAAGCGTGCGTTGGGGGAGGGGGATCTCGTTCGGGCGGTGAGGGGCAGCCCCCACCCCGGCCCCCGCGGCTCACCGTCCTGGCTCTCCCCTCCCTCCGCAGATGTCCATGAAGGAAGTGGGCGACGGCCTGCAGGACCAGATGAACTGCATGATGGGGGCGCTGCAGGAACTGAAGCTGCTGCAGGTGCAGACCGCCCTGGAGCAGCTGCAGATCTCTGGGGGCGGTCCTGCCCCAGGCTGCCCTGGAGGTCCCGGGACGCCCCCGCCGGAGCCCCCTCCATGGGAGGGTGGCCGAGGTCCCGCCAGGCCTGCTGTCCCTTCTCCCTCCAGCCAACCTTCTCATGGGAGCAGCAGCAGGTGTCCACCCCCCAGGAGTGTGTGGGGGAGGGAGCTGGCAGCCCGGCCCAGGACACAGCCACCAGAGCCCCAGAGCTGTGCCCGGCAGCGGCCAGAGCTGGCGGAACCCGACGACTGGACCTCCACGTTGATGTCCCGGGGCCGGAACCGACAGCCTCTGGTGTTGGGAGACAACGTTTTTGCAGACCTGGTGGGCAACTGGCTGGACTTGCCGGAACTGGAGAAGGGCGGGGAGAAGGGCGAGCCCGGGGAGGCAGGGGAGCCCCAAGGAGAGAGGGGCCAGCCCCGTGAGCTGGGCCGCAGGTTCGCCCTGACAGCCAACATCTTCAGGAAGTTCCTGCGCAGCGTGCGGCCTGACCGGGACCGGCTGCTGAAGGAGAAACCAGGCTGGGTGACACCCACGGCCTCAGAGCCCAGAGCCGGACGCTCGCAGAAGGTCAAGAAGCGGAGCCACTCCAAGGGCTCTGGGCATTTCCCCTTCCCAGGATCGGGGGAGCCCAGGCACGGCGACAGCCCCTCTGGCGGCTGCCCCAAGGCCCTGGAGGCCGCGCCCTCGGGCTTCGATATCAACACCGCTGTTTGGGTCTGAACCCCTGAGGCCAAAAGCTGACTGCACCCGAAGGGCCAGGCCCCAGAGCTGGGCCTGGGGAGGAGGGCGGCGGCTGGAGCAGCTTCCAAAAGCCGGACTCCAGGTTCCTCTTCCCCAGGAAGGAGGGAAAGGAGGCGAGCATGTCCGGAGCAGGAAAGACAGCCTGTGTTGGGGAGAGGCTGTGCGGGCCCGGCTGGTGGGGGAGGTGGCCATGTGCCTGTGTGTGTGGCTCACTTTGGGGCTGGAGGTGACAGCAGAGGGTGTAGGGGGAGGAGACCAGGAAACCGTCTGACATTCCTCACAGCCCCCAACGGCCTCATTCGAACATTCTGCATGGATTAGGGCGCTCGGCCTCAGGCTTCCCAGAGCGGCCCCCAATAAAGACCCCCTCTCTCAGGGCCCCCAATAAAGACCCCCTCTCTCAGGGCCCCCAATAAAGACCCCCTCTCTCGTGTCCCCAGGACTGTTTGCTCCCCTGGCGAAGCGCTGCCCCAGGCACAGCTGTGGCCGCAGCCCCCCACCCCCGCCTCCGCCCTGGGAGTGGAAGAGCAGAGGGACAAGCGCCCACCCCCGCGGTGCCCGCTGCCTCTGGGCTTTCCGCCGGTCCCTGGTTCCTGAGAAATGGCTGAATGAGGAGTGTGGGTGTAAGGAATACTTGGGGAAGCCCCTTGTCTTTCCAAAACCACAGGAAAGATAATATTTGTGGCACCTTGAAGCACATTGGAAAGCCTTTTCATCTTCATTGTCTCCTTCATAAGTGAGCGAGTAAGGCAGGTGCTGGCCCCACTTTGCAGAGGAGGTGTACCCCTCCAGGGACACGCCGGCGGTCCTGCCAGGGAGGACTGAGAGCGGCAGCTGGGCCCTGGAGCCACGCGCACACGGCCCCCCAACACCCAGTCTCAGGCCCTGCACCCCCACCCAGGACACAAAACGTGTCCATTCCCCAGCGAGGCCGAGGCATGCCCGGGTGCTAGAAGCACTCATTTTCAAATCCCGAGCTCCATCGCTGGCCTGGCTCTGCTCAGGCCTAGTCCAGGGCCTCATCTTCCCACCTGACCCAGAACCGGCCCAGGGGCGGGGCAGGGCCCCGAGCCACAGCTCTGCTCCAGCAGCCACGGTGGTGGTGGTGGCGCGTGGCCCAGGAGTGAGGCCACCCCAGCCGCCCCCTGGCAGCCACCAGCCCGCCTACTCTGGCCGGGAAAGCCTGCAGGCTGGGGACAGACAATGCAGGTCCCTGTTTGGGCCAGGCAGCCTGGGAGGGCGCACCCTCTCCTCCCCACCCCTCCCGCCTGATCTGCCCTCGGCCTGATGGGAGGTGACAGCTGCAATTAGAGGCAAGACGCCTTCCTGCCCTCAGAGCATTAATAGCAAATTGGAGAAGAAAAATAACAAGAGAGGCTCTTCCTGCATCCTGGGCCCCCAGGGGAGTGGAGGGTGGAGGGGGGCCTTAGCCTGGGCAGCTCTGTAGCTCGAGTTGGGGGTGGTTAGGGTCACTCCCACATTCCCATGCAATCAAACGATAGGTGTGTGTTTTCGGGTGACGGAAGCTCCAAGAGGAAAAGGCCCAACTTTTTTCCCCCGGGGAGAGCTGTTTGCCAGGCCGCAGGCACATGTCCTTCAAGCTTCAGAATGCCCCTGGGCCGAGGTACCACCATCGCGCTCTCAGCAAATGGCAAGAAGCAGGATTCGAGGCAGGAGGCTGTCCGGCTCTGAGACCCAGTCTCTCCGGCCCTCCCAGGGGCAGCGTGCTCTGCCGCTCCTGCCTCTGCTCCCAGGGCTCGGACGTTTCAGTCCTGGACAGAGCATGGCGGGCTGCGGTTGCCTTTGCTGGTGGCAGTGGGCGGGGCGGGGGGCAGTGTGCAGAACATGTGAGTGTGAAGATTCCACCTACTGATTCCCTGCATCCTGAGAGGAGGCGCCATCCGGCTAATTACTCAGGGAGGCCCCAGCTCCGAGTCGGGAATGATTCACCAGGAAACCAAGCCTCCTCCTGGCCCCTCACAGGTAACTCCTCAGTTTTGTGGGCCGGTTCAGACCAACTGAACAAAACGTCACGAACGCCTCCCAGTGCCAGACATTGCAATAGGAACTAAGCACTGAGCAATGGAAAGGACCCAGTTCCTGCCTCAAGGGCGCCCAGTGGGAAGAAAGAAGGATTCAAGGGAAAGAAAACTCCTTTCCGTTTTAACCTGGGCCAGAACAAAAGCATCAGGACTGACGTTCGCTGCGACACCACTGAGCGCTGTCAGCCGGTGTCGCGGGCACCGTCCTCTTCGTGTCCGCCTCCCATCCTCCCTGCCGCACTTCGCAGGGGGCTCTGCGACTCTCGTTTCACGTGGAGAGGCTCCGAGGAGCGTCGCAACCCGCCCGGGCTTACGGCAGCAGAGCTGGGATGGAAACAGTTCCATCCAGGCCAGCCTTGCGCTTCTCACGCGACCCCACCGGTTGTCCGCGTCTGCTCCAAAGCCAAGGCAAGGGCGACAATGCCAAAGCCTGTCCTGGTGGGTCCAGGCACGGCCGGGGAACGGAAGGCTGACTCCCGGTGGGGGAGACTCGCCGGGCCGTGACAGAGCTGATGTACAGCCTCCTCACTACGTCAGGCTTTGCTCATGAAAGCTTCCGGCCGATTCATTCCCCCCGCCACCCCGGGGCTCCTGCCGTGACCACCAACGTGATGGAGACTGTCTCCTACTGTCTCCTATGAAGCCGAGGGAAGGGGACACTGGGAATGCCTGCGGCCTGAGCCATGTGGGGCGGGGGTGGGGCAGCGGGGGAACTGGCGGGGGGGGGGGGGGCGGTGGCTAGTGGAAGTAAGCAGCAAGGAATTGACAGCTTAATGCTGCCCCTGGGGCTCATTTTATGGTTAATTAGGACATGCAAATCAGCTGGAAGCTCATTTAATACCCTCCCTGGCATAGGGCCCTGCCTCACACCTGGCCTGCTTCCCTGGCAGGTACAGGGGCCCCTTGGTCGGTTCAGGCATCTGCTCAGGACCCCGCCTGCTTCTCTGTGGCCCGGTGGCCTGAATGTGAGTCTATCCGTGTCCCCTGACTGTAAGCAGGAGCAGGGAGAGGCCCTGCTGGGCATGGCCGGGGCCTTCCCGGCCCCCTCCTGCCTCTCTCTCACTGACCCTCCACACCTGGGGCCCCCTCTGTCCTCAAGCACTTCCACTGTGCCCACCCCTCAGGGTAAGATCTGGACTCAGACTTGCCCTGAGGGACAGAGCTGGTTCAGCTCGGTCCCCACCTCACCTCCCTGCTCCCCAGAGCCTGTTGGGGAGGGGCTCCTGTCTCCTCCAAGTCACTCGAACATTGTCCACAAAAGCACAGCCGGTGTCGCCGGGGAGCAGGGGCCTGTGCCCGCAGGTGTTGTCCCCACCGGGGCACCGAAGGTCCTTCTGCCAGCACCACGGCATGAACACTGGATGTGGAGTCAGACAGGACGTGAGGCCCCTGTCACTGTCACTGTGTGAGCCTGAGCATGTCGCCCGGACTCTGGGGGCTCATTCCCTCCATCGGTGGGACAGGGACACTGCAGGGCCACCGCAAGGCTCAAAGGGCAAACAGCACCCGACCGTACGCCTGACTGTACTGAGTGGCATACGTCAGACCCCCTGACCTTCAGTTCAGGCCTGCACTGACCCTGTGGCCCAGGGCTAAATGCTTAAAAAAAAAAAAAAAAAAGCTTTCTGAGCCTTGGTCTCTTCTGTTAAAAAATGTACACTGGCCCTATTACCTCACAGGATGCAGCCAGGATCAGAGAAGACAATAGGTGTGGACATGTTTTTGTATAGTGTAAAAATACTACCCGGGAGGGCTGTTGTTTGCCAGTGTACAGTTTTCCATGGAAGGTTGATGTGTGTGTGTGGGGTGGGGGGTGGGGATGGAGAGGGTGGCAGATGGGCCACATTCAGAAACGGGGCCTGAGGGCCTCACTGCCTGAGGGCACACTCCGGGGACACCCCGGTCTCCCTGCAGCAGCCCCGGGCCCTCACGTTCCTGGCAAGGACGAGGGTTGAATGAGCCAAGTCCTGATGGTTTTGAGGGGTCAGGCCTCTGCTCTGAGGCCTCATGGCTGGGTCTCTGCCAGGACCCACATCTTGCCTCCCACCCCCATCACCTGCCACCCAGGGGATTAATGGCCCAAAGGGGCCTGTGGCTGTCCTGCTGGAATCCACTTGGATGCCACTCAGGAGAGGTCTCAGGGCTCGGGCTGGTGCTGCCAGAGGAAGGGCAATGGGCTAAAAGGGCCTAGATGATCCAGGGCTACCCCTAACCCTAACCCTAAAGGGCAGGGGTGGAGCACTGACAGCAGCCACCCCCTCGGCACTAGTACTAGGTGTCCCCTGCCTCTCTCTCTCTCTTACCCCCCTCCAGCAAATCCTTAAAGCCATAGGATGATGCAACCCCTCCTCGAGATTCCCTCTGAACTTGACCGGCTGACTTCCTGCCCCTGTCCCTGGGCCCTTCGATCAGTCCGAACAGTCCGGACAGAGCCTTCCCCGCAGCGCCCCCCAGGCCCAGGCACACACCCAGATCCAGGCGCACAAGGCAGCATGATGAAGCCCGCCTTGCTGAGGTCCCCGCCACACCCCGGCCCTGTGTGGGGACGGCAGCAGGAGCCCGGCTGCAGGGCTCAGGCCGCTGATGCCTCGCGGCCTGGCTTCCCCTCCACAGAAGCCATTCCCTCTGGACATGCCCCTCGGAGCACGTCTACCCTGGTCCAGGGACAGGGGACCCATTGCCAACAACGATCTCCTGACACTGCACCCGGGCCCTCTCCCCGCCACACCCCAGCTCTGGGCTGTCCACCTGCCCCGTCGGCCTTCTCCCCTCGGAGAGATGCCCCGGTTTCCTCCGCAGGCACAGCAGATGCGGCCCACCCCCAGCCTGCAGCTGCCCCCGTCTCTGGGGCTGTTGCTCCATGGGGAAGGTGTCCCCATCCAAGGGAAGCCTCGGGTTCTGTTTTCTCCTCCCGCTCTGCATATGTTACGCCCCTCCCCCAGCCCCAGGCCGCCCCTAGCCCCCTCCTCATCTGCTCTCCCTGACCGGAGGCTGGAGCCTGCAGCTGCAAGGAAGTGCCCTTGGGGTCTGCGGGGACACAGGAGGGGAAGGAAATGTCTGGGATCCTGTGACTTCATCCTCACTCGCCCATCTTTCAGGGGTGTCCAGGTGTCCAGAGGCCCGGCCAGGCCCAGCCCAGCCCAGCCCAACCAGCCCCCAGTGGAGCTCAGCCGAGTTTCTGGGCACTTCTCACTCCCCGCCTTACCCTCCAGGA